ATGAATATTGACCCACTTTTGAACATCGTTTGTAGACTTTTTGTTGTCTTTTGATTGCTTTTTATTCAAGATGTGGTTCCGTCCTTTTTGCTTCATCCTCCGAAAATCTTCGTAACTTGGCCAACCAATCTTCATCTGATCCTGTTGTTGTCTAGGGGGACCTGTTTGGCGGTAGGGATCAGAGAGGCTGCCGTATCCCCGCGATTTCCGCCTTTGCAATGTCGTGATTGTGGTTCTTGTTTCGCTAGGTGCAACACGAGAAATCTCGGACCGATTTTCTGCCTCCACCTGGTCTATCAAAGATTCTTCTATTGAAGAATTTAGATCCAATGTTTCAAAATGAACGTCCATCCTGTCTGTATCGTCGCTGTTTACTTCACTGTGTCGACGCTGTTCTTGTGCTGAGTTACAAGTCTGGCAGTCCATGATCACTGGTACATTGCATGACTTCCGGGGAGTGGATAGGAAGCTGTGGTCAGTCTGGATGAGGGGCCGTGGTGTGGCAGTGTCCAGCAATGGTACCTCGTTCTCCCTTCCTGGGGTCACAAAATGGTAACTTTTGATGCTGGCAGACTTGACCCTTGACGTGCTTTTGGCTTGTCGTCTGCCTTTGTCGATCATCATCTTCAGGGACTGTCGCGTGTTCTCTACCGCCCGATTATCCTCGTCATTTCCCACATACGTTTCCACGTTAATCCGAAACATCGGGAGGTACACTACTCTTTTGTTGTAAAGTTTTGCTGGTTTTACAGGTTCACTGTTCCTTGACGCAGCAATTTTATAGCGACTTTCAAACACTTTACTCCGAGTTCGTTGCATTTTGGGGAGGAATTGATCCTCCCTGGCGGATTCACTATCTTCCTCCTGGTGCTCGGCGGAAATGTCCTCCTGCCTCGTGTCCGGGTCGTCTAGAGGCGAGGTATTCGTTGGCTTGTCTTGGTGGACGAAGCCGTTATCGGTTGATATATCTAGGGATTTCTGAGGAATTTCATTCCTGTCTGAAGAAAAATTAGCAACTTTTGCTCGCCTTATGCTCCCTAGAGGGCGAACAATTTTCATCAGACTTCCCACGTCAGTTTTTCCTAACACAGAATATAGGGGTTTAGCCTGTATTGACATTTTATAATGATCAATTGGCATATTGAATCCTGATTTCGATCGTAAATCTATTATCTTCCAATCGCCTTCACTTTTTAAACGAAAGTCATTTCCAGGTGTGTTTTAACTCTTTGTGAGATTTTTATCTCATATATAACGACGACATCTCTGAAACTCTGTGGGCCATCAAAAACTGCTTAACTAAACTGACGTAATTCACAGCAAACGAACTCACGGCAATAAATAAGCAGGTCTTTTTTGACACTTCTATGCGATAATCCATCCTATAATGTGTTTGTCCACTATTTTTAACGTTGTTTGGTTGTCAACTTTCTAACTATTAAAACTTTACTATCCACTTAGAACAGATTTGGTGCTTCCTAAACGCCAAACTTTAATATTTCACGCACTGTTTAGGGAAACGCCAAAATCCAAATTGATACATCCATATTTAATTGTACGCACCGCAAACAACAGTTTGAAATCAGCTAGATTGAATACTTGGATTTGAAACAGGCATTTCAGAGATTTAAAATTATAATCTGATAACAAAACTTTCAATAGACCCTCGCTGCACCACGGCGAAATAAGAAGATCGCTCTGACGAGTAATACTGCAGCGTCGTTCTGGGATAAATCCTCGTGGTCAGTCACTACTAATTAAGGAAATCTCAAAAGGACAAAGACTCCCAGAGGGATTTTCTTCAGGAATCAGATTAGGGTGTTTTAAGTTGTTTATAGATGCCTTAACCAAACTTTATTACATATTAAAAAGCTGTTTAAAAGGACAACTGCCTGGTGTATTGATTTCGAAAATAGACGTAACAAAGTGTGAATTATAGAAGAAAAGATTTAAAGAGATTGATTGCATGTAATTAACGTATGGTCTATCGACGGTTGTCAGATTAGGACCACCGAAGACAGCACGTGTCACCGTCACCCGCATCAACCCCCGCTCCTAAAGTACATTGTTCTCAATCTAGATATAAAGTACCAATTCTTTATATCAATTAAATATTTTCTAACTTCTAGAAGACCTGCAATATCTCCACACAATCTTCTAATATAACGGACAGCAAGCCTGAACCCAAGGATTCGAAGGAAATTATATCAGACAAAACAAACTACCAGTGCCAAAAACGATGTTTTGTTATTAAAGAATTGTTGTTCTTAAGGTCGATCAAAACACTTAAACCTACGACAGTGCTATTTAAAGAGAAATTAAATCTTGGTCACTACCAGGGCAATCTGAATTGAAATTAAGCTGATTTTCCTTTAAAGTTCACAAACACCCAGAGAGAGAAAGACAGAGAGAGAGAGAGAGAGAAATTTAGTTTTCAAAGTGTCTGAAATATACATGCACAAAACAATTAACAAACTGAGCAAATTTCAATCAATTTAATAGATTTAATTTATAGAGGTAAAAATTTAAAGAGATTTAAAGGGACAACAAGAAACGTCAGTAATTGCGCATACATTCACACGGAATATGACATTTGAAAGAGAAGGAAAGAATTGCTAACAACAGGGCGCAATTAGTACCCATGGTAATTCCAATAATAATTTTCAAACGGTAATTAATGACAATACCCTTTTTAATTTCACACAGTTTCAAATCTATTTTTTCAGTATGTCTTAACGGAGTTTTTTTCTTACCTTGACTGTTATTTTTGTTTCTATATACATGTATATGGATATAAGTACCTCGATCTATATGTACCTCTTGTACCAGCGATCTGATTTGGAGAGAATAAAGAAGTGAATTGAAATTGAGAGTTCCGTATGCTTTGGGGTACCCAGCTATAATAGTTTCTGCTTGACGTATAAACCTAGATACATGGGGTCACCAAGTCCTTGCGACAGAGAGTTACTCAGATAACCCAGTTATAATTATGACGATGAATCATTTGCGAAATATTTTTGTTTTTCGCCGTTGTTTGTTAAATGTGTCTATTGATTTTTCAATTTCTGACATAACGTTTGGGTAATGTGAGAACTGAGTTTAAATGGATGCGGAAACGATCTAATCTTCATTGTCCAAGGTACATTCACAACCATCGGTTCGGGGTGAAAAGGCTCCGTCTCAGCTGTAGAGATATATATGTGATAGAGACGGGAAAAATCTTAGTGATTCAGCTCGATCATTTTACTGTACTTAAAAAAAAAACTTGATTTGCGTTTACAAAGATGAACATGCTGCTTTTACTGTTAATATAATTACTAGTATTCAAAAAGACAATGAATTTAATTGAATATCACTAAAAAAAAGTTATTTAACTATAATGTCTACACCCAAATTTAATTTAATTGGTTGGTTTGTATTTTTTAAATTACCAATGTGCATACATTTGTATTATAATATACAATTGCATACAGTTTTTAGCTTACCTGAGCCAAAGGCTCAAGTGAGCTTTTCTGATCACATTTTGTCCAGCGTCCGTCTGTCTGTCCGCGTCTGTCTGTCTGTAAACTTTTCACATTTTCGACTTCTTCTCAAGAACCCCTGGGCCAATTTCAACCAAACTTGCCACAAAGCATCCTTGGGTGAAGGGGATTCAAGTTTGTTCAAATGAAGGGCCACGCCCTCATTCAAGGGGAGATAATTGGGAATTAATAAAAATTTGGTGGTATGTTTTAAAAATCTTCTTCTCAAGAACCACTGTGCCAGGAAAGATGAAACTTATGGGGAAACATCCTCAGGTAGTGTAAATTCAAGTTTGTTCAAATCATGACCCCCGGGGGTAGGGCGGGGCCACAATGGCCGACCAAAGTTTTACATAGAAATATATAGGAAAATTCTTTAAAAATCTTCTTCTCAAGAATAGCTTAGCCATAATTGATCATATTTATATGGAAGCATCCTCAGGTAGTGTAGATTCAATTTTGTTCAAATCATGACCCCCAGGGGTAGGGCGGGGCCACAATGGCCGACCAAAGTTTTACATAGAAATATATAGGAAAATTCTTTAAAAATCTTCTTCTCAAGAATAGCCAAGCCATGATTGATCATATTTATGGAAGCATCCTCAGGTAGTGTAGATTCAATTTTGTTCAAATCATGACCCCCGGGGGTAGGGCGGGGCCACAATGGCCGACCAAAGTTTTACATAGAAATATATAGGAAAATTCTTTAAAAATCTTCTTCTCAAGAATAGCCAAGCTATGATTGATTATATTTATGTGGAAGCATCCTCAGGTAGTGTAGATTCAAATTTGTTCAAATCATGACCCCCCGGGGGTAGGGCGGGGCCACAATGGCTGACCAAAGGTGCTCAGGTGAGCGATGTGGCCCATGGGCCTCTTGTTAAATGTACACGGCGTACATTTTTTAAAACTAAAATAAGATTTAAAAAAAAACACACACAACAGAAAAGGGAAAGAAAGAAAGCAAGCAGAAAAAAAATGCGAAGGAATGTTTTCTGTCTTTCTGTACATATACATGTCAGTTCTTATTCACAATATAAACACAAACGCCTGTAGACATTTTTTCTTTCAAAATTCACTGAAATATCTGCGTAAATAGGAAAAATCTCTCACAAAAGAAGTGATATCTGTTTAGTTGAACAACTCTATTTGGCCAAAACATATATGATTTGGTGAAAAATGTAACCTCATTTACAGTTCAATATACTATTTGAAAACTTCCAGATAAACATGTATTATGTTTTGTAACTTTTATCCTAGTGACATTTTCAAGAGTCTATTTTCATATTTTTTTTATTTAATAAGAATATCCTAATAAGCTTTCCACTGAAAAAATTATCAAAGAACAAAGTAACCTTTATATATCCGAAGAGCCCGTGATCTGCAACGAACGATCGACAACTCAGTAGGAAGTTTGGGTCCTGCTTGTATTAGTCGAGTACAATTTCACTGGACACCCATAAAAACAATATCCGGTTCCGGTGCCCAGGTGAAAAAAAATGGCTGAACCTTAAATGAAACTAAAAACAAAAACATTTTTTTGGATTAGATTTTAAGATCACCACCAGTTTGAATGTTGGAATTTGCTACTTGTTTAATAAGTAAGATATAGAGTATTTCGACAGAGCTTATAAAATATCGTGGCATCTGTTATCACAAAGTCTTACTGACCAAGAGGTCACCAGATTGAATTGAGGAAGGGTCGCGATGTAAGAACTATTGGATTGATCATGCCGGCGTACCATCTAGTCTGGCTGACACTCGAGATCTTTGTTTCAGGTTTGTATCACTTTCTTGAAGTGGATGATATGATATCTATTCTAGGCTAACATTCCTCTGTACAAGTCACAGTGCTGTAAATGACAGTCAGTATAAATGCTATATATAGATTGGTTTCAAAAACATAAAACGGAAAGCGATTTCTAAAAGTATTGTTAGCCTTACACACTGGTACTTTTTAAAAATATGTAGTTATTGCATATTGTGACACATATGCAGGTCCATGTCTTGATTAAGCTATATAGCTTTATAAAGCTATATAGCTTTATTAAGCTATTTAAAATAGCTTAATAAAGCTATTTATATGCAGTTTTTAACAAAAACGTTTTTAGTGAGAAATAAACAAAAAGTCGCAAGTATTTGACTATCCATATATGTACTTTGGGCTATCAAAAAAACAACCTAAATCATAGAAAGTTCTAACATTGCTGTTGTTGAATACTTTTAAGCAAAAGATGATTTTCCATTGTTTGAGTAACTGTACTAGGGGAAAGTGTCCTATTGAGTGCGGTAAGGCGTGGATAAGTATGATTGCTTCTCATTGCGTTGAACTGTTACCAATCAATTATCCTGTTGGCCAAAACTGACCTCCTTTATAATTTCATTCAAGAAATAACTGTGTGGTCACTCATCAATAGCCCCCAAACTTTGAAAAATTTGAGTACAAAGTCTCTCAAGGAGACACAATTTGGTGAGTGATTTTTACATGCATTGTATTCAGAAGAGTTCAAAGTTTAATATTTCCACTGCACCAAGGTGCGACTTTTTGCACATGCTGAAAAAATAAAACATTTGAAATTTTTTTTTTGATAAAATAGCTTAATTAAGCTATTTCGAATAGCTTAATAAAGCTATATAGCTAAATCAAGCTATATAGCTTAATCAAGACATTGTGCCGGACCTGATACAATGAAGCGCATTGAAGTGGTAAAATTTTCCGTTTGAATGAAACGTTCTGAGTCATGTTTTGAACGTCAGTTATAACATAATGACACGCCCATATTTTTAGAAACGAGAAAGAAATATTCGTCGTGATGTTTTAGGACACCCCAATCTTCGCGACAAGCAACATGAGTTACACAAAAATGGAGCTTTAAAAAATTAGAAGAAAGAATTAGAGATTCCCCGCTTCTGTAGAACTCAAATTACAACGAATATGAACATATTTTTCAACTTATCATGTCTACTGAAGTTACCACAACACATGTTATGGTCGAACACGCGTTTACTCGGTGTTTATTTAGACCGTCAATTTGATTGGTTATTATATTTATAGAAAACCTGTTCTACAGGTATTCGAATGAACAAATTGACCGTTTTATCCATTTCTAAAGAAATGGGCGTGTCATAAGATGAAAATAAACGTTCTAAAGATAGCTCAAAACGTTCCATTCGAATGGAAAATTTTACCACTTCAGTGCGCTTCATTGTATGTACATATGATTCGTTGTTTACAACCTCAACACTGATCTTGCAGCTCGGAAATTGATAGTTTGGTGAAATATGAGTATTTAAGGAATCACTGTCTAGTTAGTATAGTATTCCAGGGCATAAATGATAGAGGGAAGCAAAGCCCGTTATGCATAAATTATCCCATGTTTCCCACTATCATTGATGTCCCTGGCATACTATACTAACTAGACAATGATTCCTTATATCTCATTTCATTGTGAAATAAAATTGTATATTAAGACTTTAAAAATGTAGACAGATTTGAATTACATGAGGACTCCCATGCCAATTTCAATAGCCCTTGCCCACAGACGTCAAACACAAAGGCGCTGCCACACAAGATTTAAATGCATATTTGGCCTCCTGAGTGTTAGTCATACATGAATATTTCCATTTCTAATTTTTTTTCTCTGTGATAACTCTTTGAAAGTTAGAGGAGTTGACATCTTAATAATTCTACTGGAATGTAAATTAGGTAGGTTGATAGGTCAGGAGCTAAGGAGGCTTAATATGCATGCAAATCTAGTGTGCATCTGCCTCTGTGCCTAATGCTAAAGGTGCCAAATATGCATGCAGAGTTGTGGAAAACTGCCGGTCATGCCGGCAAAACCGACAAAAAATTTGCATGACCGATAAAAATGCTATCAGTGTCGGTCCAAATGACCAGTCCCTCTTTTGGTTAAAGTTTTTCTGTTTTTCCATTTCTCAGCTGTGCATTTCCCATCTTAATTATCGTACCTTGTATGCGATTGTGTAATACATTTTCTTTAATCAAGATCGAGGCTGTAAATGAAAGCGAAACTAGGATGGTTCTCGTGACCTATTAAATTCACAACTGGGACAGAATTAGGTAAAAAACGTATCAAAGAAAAAAATAAAGAGGAGCTGATTTAAAATATGAAAAATTTCCACAGAAGGAATTCAAGCACAGGTGGGGAAAGCAGTCATTCTAGTTAGAATAATCTAACTGTGTCTCGGTACAGGCCCTCACCACAGTTAGAATACGTCCCATATACTTGCAATGTAGCAAATCGGAGCGGATCCGCTCCGAAACGATTTTGAAGAATATAAAATGATTTGCACTGGGAATAACTACCAAAATAATCAAAACAAACCTTCTTGAGATTGCTTATGCCTTTTATCCCAAAAAATAATCCATATAAATACGAAAATCCAATTAATTTTCTCAACGTTTTTCTCTCGATTCAAATTACCTGCCATGTTTACATTCGGAACTCTCTAGATTGTTCCTAGTAAATGCACTATGCGAGTTATTGCCCGTGTTTCTTTCTGCTACATTACGAATACACGGAACGAATTCTATCGTTAAACCGGGTCCGTAGGACAATATCATTTTAACGAAAGAACATTCTATCTACAGTAAATCTAGTACTACTGACTGTCCCGGATTTTCGTTTTTTACCGATCGTGTTGATATCTTTATTTATCGATGAAAAGAATTTTTGCAATTTCTAGACCAATTTTCAATTCCCAAATGCATAAATGTTTTATAAAAATTATGTACACTATGCTGAATGAGCATTGCGACCTGCCCAAAAGTGGTTATATCTGGTATTGTTCTTTATGAATGCAAAATTAAAAGAAAATGGAAGAGGACTTGGAAATGGAGACTGAATTTTGTATCATTATTAACATGATTAAAATGATTTATTAAAAAAAATGTGTTATTAAGTGAATATATATTATGTTTTGTTTTTTTTTTCATTTTGCAACTTACTATTTCGGACTGACAGAAATCACTTCGGACCGGCTTATTTTGTTTTCTTGTCGGTCCGATTGACCGGCTATCTGAAAAAGTTTTCCACAACTCTGTGCATGTAAATCTCTTGCAGCTGCCTTTGTGTTTGACGTCAGTGGACGAGGACTATTAAAATTGGCATGGGAGTCCTCATGTAATAAAAATGTCTATATTTTTTTTTCAAATCTAAATCTACATTTTATATCCCAATGAAATGGAAATATAAGAAATCACTGTCTAGTTAGTACAGTATGCCAGGGACATCAACGATAGTGGGAAACATTGGATAATTTTTGCAAAACATGCCCTGGCATACTATACTAACTTGACAGTAATTCCTTAATTGTTCGCCCTGAAACATGTTTGCCCTGGCCTTGACACCATAGGCCCTCAAATTCTATTTTTATAAAAATAAGAATTGGTTTATCTATCAATATTGACATTATCAAAGAAAGATCCTCTATTTCTCTTACAAATGGAGTACAAATTTTCTAATTTGCATAAACTGAAGTTTGTCCCACAGATTTGCATTGAAATATCATTACCATTTATAAATGTGAGGCTATCTGAATATTTCATGGTTAACTTTATGTAATAAAATCTTTAAATTGAAGTTCAAAATCGATGTGAATAATATCGATAACTATTAACAAGTTTTCTGTGTTAACAGTGATATCTGGACAGGAAGATGTACAAACCACCACGGCTTGTGTGGGACGTTGTGACTTTGGTTATAGGATGGACTGTCCTCAAGGACAAAGGGTAGCTCCTCGAGATTTGACGTACTATGCCAAACAGACCAACGCTCAGTGTCCAGACTCGGACAACCCGAGCCTGATGTGCCAGTCCAGTGAGCAGTGTTGTAGTTACTATGGCGGGGACTGCAGTCTCCCATTCTCCTATCAGAAAGCATTCCAGGTGTTTAACAACTGCTCAGGTTACCAGAGCTGTGGCTGGTTCCGAGCTGAGTCCGTACAGATTGGGTCACGCTGTAGCTATAGAGACAAAACAAATTACATCGCTGCCTCCTACAGCTGTATCAAAGGTCAGTCATGTTTTTTATCAGTACACAGCTTATAGTGGTGTTTCGATTATCGCCGACATCGCCGAATCTATCGCTGAAACCCAACCGATTTCGATTAATCGGATTGAAATTTGAGATCGATTAATTGGTAAAACCTGTAAATGTACAAGTTTACAAAGAACGAACTGTTGTTGACACGAATAGTCGAATACACTACATTGGCAAAGATGGCGGCGCCCTGTGTCGCAGACAACGAGGACAACCAGCGAGAAATACTTCCCTACCCCGGCACTAAATCGAAGTCTGCCAACGAAACAAAACTTAAAATGCAGGGCCGTCAAATTTGGACCGAATATCGGACCCATTCCCAATGGCACAAAGTGCTAGATTTTCCCAATTTCATACTTAAAAATTCCCCAAAACGTGTTTTCTTGTTTATATCACCTAATTTTCCACACATGCATCCTTTATTTGATCCATTTAGCAGTAATGCATGGTTGATTTTAATCTGCAACATCCCTGTCATGATCGTTTATTTCTAACTCGAATTTCCTCTGTCATGGAATAGAGATCTATAGATAGGTCATACGTAGATTGGGTTGGAGAACTTATTTACATTATTTAACAAGGATAACCATTATGAGTTAGTTCATAAAATAAATAAATATATTTTTAAGTGAATTATAAGTTAAAATAAACTCTTGGATACTATCTATTTCATTTGCATGTGTTAAATGTCCAGAAAAAAAAGAAATAAATTGTAGATCTAGGCAATTTTATGATATATTACCTTTAAAAGGAAAATTTTAAATAGTAACTTAATAATTTCAATAAAATTATTCTTTATAATCTAAATTTTTGATTCATTTAAGATGCAATTAAACAGTAAGAAATACCCCCCCCCACATTTTTCAGTCTCTGTATTAGTGAAAATAAAAAAAAATGCCTGCCTAGTAAGTAAATGTTTGATCTGTTAAATATAGATTTTATCAGACCTTATGACTTATGTCCTGTAAATTTTGGCTTTTCAAGTATACTTTTCAAAGTGATAAATGGCTTTCATGATTAAATATTTTGCTTGGAAGGGGGGGGGGGTGTTAATTCATGAAAGTATGTTTAAAATTTTCCCAATTTGACAAAAATGTTGAGGATTTTTCCCAAACGGTACTGCGACAGCCCTGACATGTCAAGAGCCATTTGCAAACTCTGCAGGCGAACGTTAGCCAATAAAGGTACTACATCGACTTTAAGCTCTGTCGTCCTTGGTAAGAAGTTTGGGAAAACGCTATACACGCCCCTTTTTTTCACCAGGTTGTTATGTATTTTGTTAGTTACAAGTAGTTAGTACTAGTTAGTAGTTACCTTGTTATTGTAATTGCCAAATTTCATGTTAATAAGTTGTTAGTTACATTGAATAATAAAAAAAAAAAATTTTTATAGAGTCATATATCCTTTATTTCACATAATATGTTTCAAAATAAATATGGAAACCGATTAATTCGATTAATCACTAAAATCGGACTCCGATTATTAACCGATAATCGGTTTCAGATTTTTTCCGATTATACAACACTAACAGCTTAGGCCCAGATTTTTTTTTTGTCTTTTAGACAGCTATTTGAAAGAAATGAGAAAAAATGTGCTACACATCTAAAAGGAACACAGTATTATCTTTATGATTTAATAAAAAAATTGAAAGAGCAATGAACTGAGTAAAAGCTGAATTTTATGTAATGAAAAGGCAGAGGAAGTGATGCAGTGTTCACAACTACATTGTTGTAGATGATCTTCATACTCATAGTTTATTTCTCATCAAACTGTATCAATTATACTGGTAATGAGAGTATTCTTAAGAGTATTTCTATAACAGTTTAGATTTGTTCTTTACAGAGGAGACCTTTATTGATATCTGCTCCGAGGCATCAAGACGAGGGAAGTCTGTCTCACTCCTCTACAACGGCTCCCGTTATACCAACGCTACGGGAGCTCCTCGGGTCTGTTCCTGTGCTATATCGACGTCAGACTGCGACTCTCCAGGCAGGCTGAAGTTCCGCGCCGTAGACGTCAGACTTCATTCTCACAATGACATCAACCACTGTAATCGTTACAGCCGCGTGACCTTGACTGATACCAAGACCTCCGAGGGCTACAGGTGTCAGAAGAACTACTTCCAGAAGGGGTTCTACGATCTCTTCTACAGCGCCTCCCCCTATGCCAGGGTATCTCTGTACAATCAGCCAGGGGTCTACCCCTCCCAGGTCTGGTTAGAGGTGTCAGGTAAATGTCTCACATTTACTTCAGTTTTCCTATGTACACAGGGAATAATAGTGTAATAACGTATTTGTAATTATAAATTTTGTGAGTTTTCTTTCATTACGCAGCAATGAAGTTTTTGACAACATTATATGCTAATGCTTCATCTCATATTGTTTGTTTGATGTTGCAGCCACTGTGCGTAATATAGATGTGATAGTGACGTGTGGGAGCAATCAGCCCGAGAATCTTGTGTTCTGCGGACCCCCCTCACTTCTCACTACTCCAGCATTCGAGGACAAGACAACGACCAAAACACCGGGTAAGAATAAATAAGCACTTAATATCAGGTACTTAATCTCAGGTGATAGAGTGGTTATTGAAATTGCAATACTTTATATTTACATGATTTATATGTGCTTTCCAGGGGATATATTTGGTCCTTCTGGTAATGAAGGAGAAGTGCCATCTGGTGGAGAAAATGAACCCAGAGATAAGGAGGAGGCAACTATCAATAAGAAGGGTAAGTGATCTGTTTCTGTGGGAATACAAACATACATGTATATAGGAAATTTCTTTTAAAATCTTCTTAAAAATAGTAAGGCTATGATAAGTGATAAAATATGCAAGCATCCTTAAAGGTATGGTCAAGTTCTAATAGGAGAATAAGTTAGTACATGGGAGTATATTAGTGATATTAAAAGGAAAGCATTATTAGGTGTAGATTCTACTTTGTTCAAATCATGGCTCATGGAGATGGAATGGGACCACAAAAGGGTATCAAATTTTGACATGAAAATTCTTTTTGCTAAATCTCTTCACATACAGCAGCCTGTAGGACCATAATTAGTGATATTTTCATTTGCTTTCTTGTTGATCCCTGGAAGTAGGGCTGGGTGACAAGAGAAAATAAAGAAAGAACCTACTTGTAAAAAAATAAAAGAAAACATGGTCATGATTAGTCATTGATCATATTCATGTATAAAAATATGCAAGCATGTTCAGATCTTGTAGATTCAAGTTTGTATAAATTACCCCCCCCTCCCAACACACATACACACACACGCACACACACCCCTTTTAACCAAGGATTGGATAGGGTCAATGATCCGAAGAACAGCAGGACCAAGGTGACCCATGTGATTGTTGTGGTCCATGGGCCTTTAGGTATCTGCCTTAAATTTTTCTTTTGAAATTTTTCTTATTTACGTTGACGAGGATGCTAATTAAAGTCAGTAAAATGACTATGCATGTTCTCCAATTGTTATGCAGTGTGATGAAGACAATAGGTTAACCTTTTAACAAATTAATCATAGTAGTGTTTTATGAACTATTGAAGGTTTTGCATGGCCTGGTAAGTTGGTAACTCTTTGAAATCTATGAGGTAGTGTGTGCCTGTTTATGTTTATAATCTGGACATATAGAAGAGAAATTATTTTTAAAATCAATTTTGATAAATTTTTCATGAGGAAGCTAACATAATCTTAAATTCTTACTGGCAAAATTTCATATTAAGTTGAGTATAAACTTGTTCATAAATTAATTTTATGTAAACTTTCCTGGTGATAAAGAAATAAGGAAACAAATACGACCATAAACAGACACATTCTGGGCCACACCTGTTATCAGCAGCCTTGTCTTGATTATATCCAGAGTTATTCTCACTGAATGATATCACCAGATTTGTTGATGTTTTGAGAGATATCACCAAATACTATTATTGTATTGAGAGATATTGCCAATAACTGTTGATGTCTTGAGATGGTCTTGGTATATCACTGTAATCAGATCCAGCACTTGTCACCCTCACTAATGCATGGTGTCTCTAACCTCTGTCACTATTTAGCACCAGATTATTAATTACAGGTGAAAGCAGGACTTATTGTATTAAGTTCAAGAAAAGCATGACACAGAATTTTGTTTTGAGATTCTTAAAATCTTGTTTGATACATGATTGCAGATGAGGTCATTGTAATTAGCATTATTACAAAATGTGTTACTGATTTTTATACTTTAAACAGTAAATGTAACTGGACTGTGCCGGACATAATTAAAATCATTTTAGAGAATTTTTCAGTATAACAAAGATGTCATATCATATCTGACATATACACTAAATGTTAATTTTAATATGTGACAGGGTATACTGAAGAACATAATAATTTTCAGAATAGCGAAGACACATATCCTATTAAAAAATATAACGACATTGAGAATCCTGAACTCTAAAGCTAGTAGCAAATAAATAGCCTACCATCTTTAGATTTTCTTCATTGACATATAACATAAATGCCATGTAAATTTTAATTAAAGGTCAAGATTTAATAAATGAGTTTATTTCATTATTAATTTATTTAAAACTAAAGTTTTCCTTTATACAACTAATTTAATTAATGTGATGAAAATGAAGCTTTTCATGATATGTGTACTAGTAATCATAGTACATGTACATGTACTAGTATTGAATTTGAAATTTTGTCAAATGTAATCCCAATGTAACAAGAAGTCAACATTAATTGCTGATTTTTAAAAGACTATACTAGGCATCTGGATACGTTTCCCTTGTCTGATATGAAAAAAAAAAATTTCATTGAAAATTGTTTTCAATTAAATTGTTAAAGTTGAGAGATATCTGTTGACATCTTTTACTGGTATTATCTGGAATTGGCTATCAAGATTTTCATTTATTAATCAATTTAAAAAGTAACACTTTATGGAATTTTGTCTTTAACAGGAGAGATATTCTTTACATTAAATAATGAACTTTTGAATGATTTAAAACAGATCATATCACCTTAGACAATTTTTTAGTTGGAAAATGTAATGAAGAAGCCATTAACATTTTCTTTCCTTGCATAACATGTGACTGTATATTGACATTGGTTTTGGATTAAGCCATTAAGTACAACAATAAATAGGTAGGGTTTGATGCTTACTGCCCCCTCTGCCATCAATGTCAAATGGTCTTGTTTTTCTGTTACTCTTCATTTACTCCTAAATACGTAAAAATTCATAAGAATTTAATATCGTTATGTGGGGGTGATGGATTATTGGAAGTGTGATTACTGAGGAAGATGACCTCAGTGACCTAGAGTGGTCACAGTGAGTGATCGGGAGATCCCTGGTCATGCCTGACTGACCACAGGTAGGCCATCTATCAATGGCCAGCGATGGCTCCACATGAGTCCAGTGTAACATTTCTTGTGTTGAGGACTAGACCTCCCATGTTGGTCGATAGTAAGTCTTACAAAACTAACACTGTAAAATTTAAGGAGTTGGTTAAAACCTACAAAATATCAAATTATTGTATCATTATTTTTAATTGTAACATGTATTTAATTATTAATAATATGACTGTAAATCCATTAATGTGTCATTTGACGTATGAACCTGCTACATTTATTACGCAATTATAATCCCGATACTGTCTTTAACATCTATATTATGTATGCAGTATGGAATATTTTTCTCCCTTTATCTGCCTTTGTTACCCTAGGCACTTAAATGTCCGGTCTTCTTTATGTGGATATTAACTCTAACTGAAGGTTTAATGTGAACACATACAGGCTTGGTGGGAATACAGTGTATAGGCTGCATGAAATGTGAGAAGGCTATGTGTATTTTATATGTAGAACCATTTGTCTGCTTGACATTAATGTTAAATATGGGAACAAATGTAATTTTAAAGCTACTTATGCAATAATCATGTTATTTGACAAATTGATGTCGGTTTGTGTCAGATGTGTAATGATGACCCAATTCACCTGACAAGTTTTCCTTTATTTTAGATGAATTGTACTGTAATATTATTGTATCTACAAAACAAAGGATATTAATAAGAGAAAAAAATTAATCCTATTTCAATTTTGAGAACTCGGCATTACCCAGTTTTAAATTTATTGTTAAGATTGTATGCAGTTCATTGTAGGTGCTGCTTACCTGTATCCAGTTTAATTAGTTGCTAATACAATTTGTCATTTTTTCAGACCTTGGTCTTATTGTTGGTGCTGTAGCTGGTCTTCTGGTCATCATACTTATCATCGTTATCATCATTATCTGTATCAAACACAGGTTTGTCATCCCCACCCACCAAAAATTTATAAAGAAGTTGGATATTCTTTTTACCCTTTTCTTTACACTTTCTTAATATCTGTAAAATTTTAAATGATATCAAACTTAAATATTGACATTTGAGTTTTAAATTGATGTTAATTTTACAGGAGAGAGAAGCTGCGTAAGAAGCCCCCAATGTTGCCCCACCCTGTCCCCCTGTCCACGCCCAGCTCTGTCATTCCGTCGTCGTTTCCTTCCTCAGACACCGAGGAGCGCTACACAGAGGAGCAGTTTGGAGATGATAAATACGGAAATTACTATGAGAGCATGGCTCAGCCTAATGGTAGTATGGATAACAAATCTCCGTTTACCCCAGGAAAAGCCATGGGATCATTCTTCCCCAGTGATCGCCCCAGAGTACCTCCCCCGGCCCCACCTAGTATTCCTGCCACCCCACCTGTCGGGAAATCTCAAGCCCTACAAATCAGAAAATCCCCCGAGAACAAGCTGGATGCTAATCCTTACCACACGCCCTGGGACGGTTCTGTATTCCAGGCCCCCAGTAACAGAGTGAAGAAGAACGATCTGGCTTATGCCACTAGTGACGAGATTCAAGTGTTGATTCAAAGAATGGAGAATGAGCGTGGCCATGTAGCAGAGGGACTCACTATAGCTAAACCAATTCCGCAGAAAGGGTATATTTACATTGACGATTATCAGAAAGGTCAAGGAGAAAGTTCAAAGGCCACCAATACAGACTTGTATGTTTATCAGAGTGATTCAGAAGACTCGGAGTCGGACAGTGAGAACAAACCGGTAAATGGGGAACAATCTGACGAGGCATCTAATCGGCCATCGCAGGGAGAGCAGGGAGTAAGTGAGGGGACCCCCAGGTCTAATGACAATTTCTGTGGGAGCGAGGACACAGGGTACCGGTCAGTGGGGAGCCCTGAGCATGTGTTAGTGTCGGAGGACGATTATCTTGTGCCTGGGTCTGTAAAGTCAAACTCCAGCAAAGGGACTTCATCGTCCACAGTGAAGGTTAGTGAGCGGGGGAGCGTGATCTATAATTCCTCTTACGGAGAGCCTTACGATGCCCGACGGAGCGAGACGGGAAGTAATTCATATGGAGATCCATATGACGCGGTGCAGAAAAAAGAAACTGTTGATATGACAACTAAATTCTAAGACCTTGTTGGCATTTAATCTTGCATCTTGCCTGAAAATTAACATGTATTGATAGTGTAAATGTTAAGAGAAGTTTTGAGAATTGCGTAATTGTCAGATATTAAGGACTTGTGAATATTTTCGCGTAATGTGTAATGTGATATACGGTTTTGATAGGTGGTTTGTTTATGTAGAGAAAGGACCATGTTGCATAATGTAAGAGTTGTATATTCTCTACACACACACTAGACATTAACCTGTGAACTGCCAGTTTTCTGGAATGTCCCTGCCTTGTCTCGATGTTGTGATTCGTTGTCGTTAGTCCCTTAGTGTCCACTGTGCCATATACTACGTGGTGCCAAGTGGGGCACCTGCCACCCCACACCACCTTGTGCAGACCCCACCTTGTGGTGCTGTTAGTGTTACAGACTGTATCTCAATAAGATGGCAAAGGACACTGGATGTATAAGTATTCTTACTAGTCATATTGGATCAACAAGATAACTGGGACCTACTTAAGTTACTTTAATTTACCCCTCAAAAAAAAGAAAGTGGCATTTTGTGCATTTTCTCTGTTGTAGTGTTGAAAGTATGGTTGTGTCACATTATCTTACTATGCCAGACTTTAATAAGCAGGACAGGTCGTCATGAGAAAAGAAAAAAGCTTTTTCCCCCTACCAAAGAGGATTTGTGGGATCATAAACAGTTTGGGCTTTCAAGGTTATTGTATTTTCTAAATAGCTGTGAACTAACGGAGTAGTCTGTAGTGAGATTCTGTGTTCATTTGTTTCTTCTGCACATAATATTGTAAAATGTTTAATGTATAATTTTGTGAATTTTATATACCAGTATTAATCTGATAAAAAGGTTGTAAACAAGACAATATTGGAAACATATTACAAATATTTCATATATATATTTGGTCATGTACAAGATTTGTGTTGTGCACATTGTTTTTATCATGTAGACAAGATTTCTAAGGGAAATAATTCTTTTTTATTTAATTTAGATTATTTTTTATTTTTGTGGTTGTGAAATTTTGTTTACTAAAAACACTTAATAAGAGAAACAGGGATTCTTTATTAATATACATGTACCTTTATATTTTGACAGAACATATTTACATAACAGTGTTGAATGTTAACTCTTTAGCTTTAGGAGGAAATATTTGTGTGTACATTTTTGTTTAAAGTTTGAAGTTCTTGGCTAGGATCTAAGATTTGTAAGGAGGATATAACAGAAATATCATGCTCTCTCTCTCTCTCTCTCCCTCTCTGTCTATCTCTCTCTCCAGACCTATTGAGCATGTAGATAGGCATATCAGAGTCAGATGTATGGCCAGGTTGTGATTTTTAAATGATACATTTAAATGTTAGCTTCTTCTCCATTACAGTATTTTTAACCTTATTTATCTTCCTTAAAAAAAATTGTTGCATCAAGTTTCCATTAACTTTTTGTCAATTAACTTCATTGTGGCCAATTAAACATTCCAGAGTCTTTTTCATTTGAAACTGAAGCAGTTTCCCCCTTCTCTTATAAGATTTTTCCTCCCTGGTGCTTCCCTTGTGATATTGTCATACAATCATCTACAAATAGCTCCACATTTCTTGCTTAGTGTGCTGTTAGATTCATGTACTAAATTTATACTTTGAACTCGGTGTTCTTTTCTCAAAGCGGAAAGTAAAGGGATAATTCTTTTTCTGTATCTGTGTTTTAATATGATAGAAAAGAAGGATTTCACTGTAACTGATTGATAGTCAAAGTAATGCAGGCATTGAATAATATTGATTAATATAGCATATTTCTTTAATTCTAATTAGTCCTATTAACTATATATAAGAAGTTTTAAAAGTTGTTATATGTGTTTTGTCTTTTAGAAATTTGTATATAGTATCAATTGGAATAATTATAACATTCAGTGTTATAAATTTTATATTAGTTATTTCTTTAATGTATTAATATACTTGTTGTGAAGTATGAGATGAATATTGAAGGATGTTGAATAGATTATGATCTTATTGCTGAGTCATGTGAACGTTTTATGGGAAATCAGAGTCAGCCTGATACTTGACAGGCCATGTTTTCACAATCTCTCTGTTGTGGTTGTAAAGTATATTGTATTGTTGCCAAATTATTTATTTTTGTCATGTAATCTAGAGACATAGTTCATTCCAGAATATTGCAAAAATTATTTTAACATTCCACAGAACTCTTCATTTATAGAAATAATCATTTTCATTACCATAGAAATTAAGATACATGTTACCCTCTTTATTATTTTTTATTTACAATATTTTATTGGTAAAGAATAGCATATTTTCCCGTTTAGTACAAGTTTGTACTTTCAGCCTCAGAAAACAATCGAGCTGTTGTTTTATTGATAGTAATTAATATTACTGTTTAGCGTCTCTGCATGGTTGAATTACATTTAGTCTATAGGATACATTTTCTCTTAAAATAATGAAGTTGAGCATGATTCATTTACAGTAGCAAAAGAGAAATTGTGGTCATATTTTCATAAATTTTTGCTACCTATTAATAAAATGTGCGATATTGCCTTAAATTTGATATGTGTGTTGTTTGTTTTTGAACAAGCTCTCTCCCTCTCTCTCTCTCTCTCTCTCTCTCATCTAAGAGTGACCAGCTGCTATCTGTTTCCCTGTAGTCTCACTCATTATTTCATTTATAACCTTTTTAAAACATTTTAGCTTCTGACTCATCAGAGACTGAGACAGAGTAAGGTGAAAGTTTACGGTACTCAGTCCACTTAAATGTCCCTCTCTAACAAGAGAAGCAGCAACAGGAGCTTTACGTACACCATTTTATTGTCAAAGCTACAAAAAAACTAAAAGGAAAAAAATAAAAGTCCTTCTTTTCAATTAGAGCAAAGGGATTGACAAAATTGATGAAATTGCCATACATCTGTACAGTTATGTAAGTAGAGAAGCTGATGTCCACTGAAGTCTACCAAACTGTGAAGTGTCTAAATTGTGATGTATACTACAATGAAGCGCATTGAAGTGGTAAAATTTTCCGTGTGGACGAAACGTTCTGAGTCATGTTTTGAACGTCAGTTACAACATAATGACACGCCCATATTTTTAGAAACGAGAAAAAAATATTCGTCGTAATGTTTTAGGACACCCCAATCTTCCCGACAAGCAATATGAGTTACACTGTAAAATGGAGCTTTAAAATTTAGAAGAGAGAGTTAGAGACTCCCTACTTCTGTAAAACTCAAATTGCAACGCATACATATGTACATATTTTTGAACTTATCATGTCTATTGAAGTTACCACAACACATGTTTCGGTCGAACACGTGTTTACTCGGTGTTTATTTAGACCGACAATTTCATTGGCTATTATATTTATGGAATACCTGTTCTACAGGTATTCGAATAAACAAATTGACAGTTTTATCCATTTCTAAAGAAATGGGCGTGTCATAAGATGACAATAAACGTTCTAAAGATAGCTCAAAACCTTCCATTCGAACGGAAAATTTTACCACTTCAATGCGCTTCATTGTACCTGTGTTTTGAAATTCTAGGTTAAGTGCAATTTCTGAAAAGAGCTAGCCTGTGCAATATACTGCATATTCTCAGATTTCATTGATTTCGAAGATGCATGCAAGTGCATGTATCATGCATTCTCAATTAGATTGATGTGAACATATTTTATTGTCTATAAACTTTACAACTGGGATTGGGCAAAAGTACTAAAAACTTAATATTCCCTTTCCCTACATATGAATTATACCAAACATATTTAATTAGGCCTAATGTAACTAACCTGACCTATATTTTTTAAAGACATTTAACTGGGCTATATTTAAAAAAAAAAAAACAACATTTTTTTTAAAAATGTCTTTACTAGAATGTAAGACTTTTATCACAAGATTATAAAAATGTCAATGATTGAAAGACTTTCATATGCGACTTATATTATTCCTTATATGCTGTACACCTCTGCTTAATCAAATTGTAAAGAAAAACCACTTACAGTTATATTTTTGCTTATTTTTACTTGAAAAATTTTGTAAATATTTGTGTAAACACCCACTCCATCGATAAATAATTTGCATTAAATGTGTGCTTATTTTTTGTTTCGAACTTAATGCTTCTATGATTTTAAATTAAGAATATCTTTTAAAATTATCACTAGGTATGTACGTTGGAAGATACGTTTATACGTACGTCAATGTGAATTTTGATCGGGATCGAGTTTCCTATAATATGCAACACCAGTGGCGGGAGAAAACAGGTTCAGGTTGTTCAGAAGAAGGTGTTGGATTTAAATCAAGGTAGATAAACTTAATTAAAAGGTTATTTGCTATCATATAAACAGATTCATGATATTTTCTTGACGGTTTTATTCACTAAAATGAAATAACGATTGATAGACAAGACATATTTTTATGTCTAGGACAGTAGGTATTAAATCAGACACTGAATTTACTACTTCCACTGTTGTATGAGAACTTATCTTAATCTCAGATAGGTACAAGACTTTCACTTATAAGTGGTGTGCGAGACTTGCTAACCCTAAATAGCTTAGTGATGTAAATGTTACTACACAGTCCTATGAACATTTGGATGTTGTGGATCTGGGGACTGGTAAAATCCAAAGGAGAGGACATATATTCCTTTTACATAATAAAATTCGTCGGAAAAAAGAAATTATTGATAACAATAAATTTAGAATTGATGATGTTAAAGGTGCATGGACACAGATTTGAAGTTGATAATTTCTGTATAATATCACGACATATATTTTAATAGGATTTCACACAAAAATATATTAAAATTTTATTTCATCTTATAGTTATTGAAACTTCAAATTTTTGGATGGGTTTGATTGACACACCCTTGCACTGTGTATTAATGAAAAAATTTTAAAACTTTATTCCAGAAAAATAATTATATTCAGAGTAGAAATGTTAGCAAAACCCCTTCACAAGTATCGTCATTCTGCGCTAAGTGTTGTGTACAGATTTTAGCAAATTGATCACACCCATGAAACGTACACAGTTTTTGTAAACAGGGCACGAGCTCTATTATTGTTGATGTTTACAATTCACCATTCAATTGTTAAAGTCTGCTCACCACAACTGCACGGACTGACAATATACTGTATGTATGTTTTGCTTTCAAACATTTCTACTCTGAATTTTCTGGATTATAAGTTATAATATTTTTCATTTATACACAACAAGATTGCCACTTTTCCTAAGTATTAAGAATAAAATTAAAATTTGTGAAAGTGCAAGGATATGTCAATCAAACCCATCTGAAAATTTGAAGTTTTAATAACTTTTAGATGAAATAAGTTTTTTAATATATTTTTGAGTGAAATGCTATTAAAATATATTAGTCGTTATATTATACAGAAAATATTAACTTCAAATCTGTGTCCATGCACCTTTAATATTTGAAAAGATCTTTTAGTTGAACTTCATTCATGACATATTAAAATAATTAAGTGTATAATTTAAAAAAAAGATTATTAGCAGACAAGCATGATTAAAAATTATTTAACAAAACGATGGGTCATTACTGGATAATCCCTATTAACCGCCCCTACCCCTATAAGCGCCCCTAGGTTTTTTTCAATTGGGAGGTCAACATTACTGCTACATCGCCAAAAATTTCAACTCGTTAAACTGTACTACATTTTTTCGAAGTTTCAACCAATCATTACCGCTACATTTTTTGGCCCAAAACAACTCCTTAACACTACATATCGAATCAGCCAGATATGGTACGAAATATGAGTTCCAATCACGGATTTCTTTACAAGACAGCAGTATGTCAAGCAAATGGCATTCAAAGCATTAGCAATTGTGTAAAGACATTGTGAAAATTGTGACTTATCTATGAATTTATCTATGAACAGTGCTTGATTTTCCAATTTTTTAAGTGTTTTATAAAATAAGGCCAAAAGAAAAAGTCTTGTTTCCTGCTACCCGACCTACCCTATTTTTTTGCACCCGACCCTAAGTTTTTTTTAGCTTTTGGGGAAAAACTTGGAAATTTCAGGAATTTTATGTTCCAAAAGTGAAAAAAATAGATACATTCAAATTGTATTTCATGATATATATGTTTACAATATGGACTTTCATAAACTTCTACTTGAGTTGTGCATCAAAGATAATATTGACCTAGCTATGACATGTTTAATTTGGTTTTGTTGTAGTTCATATCCAAAAAATACCATTGGAAAAAATGAAATAAATTTAAAAAATAAAATAATTTTCCTACCTACCTACCCTATTTTTTTCAGGCTGGTAGCAGGAAACAAGACTATTATTTTATTTGGCCTAAAATAGATTTTAAATTAAAAAAAATTAAAAAAAAAAAACCCACCCTGCTCAAAGTCCTACTTTTACCTCCTAGAGGTGAGCAGGAGAATCGGGACTTATACTTGTATATGTTGTATTTTAAATCAATCTATCCACGCAAAAGTAGCTGGCTAACAAAAAGGGCAATGTATAGCGGTAATGTATACTTTTATATGTAGCGGTAATGTAACGTTATTTGTAGCGGTAATGAAAATTTTGATAATGTAGCGGTAATGATACGCACCCTTTCAATTGTTAGGAAATGAAGGCCCCCTGTACAGTACTTAAAATCATCTAGAATCGTATCAAAAGTCTACCAAAATTTGAAGAAAGTGAAAATAAAACTTGTCTATAATCCAATTTCTTGTTGGAAAATGATTCATTTAGCATAATTTTGATGGATTATCTTCTCTTAAACTAAAGTTAGACATTATTTTAAAGGTTCTTTGAATTTAATTTTTTTTTCCAAAATATTTTTTAAAGTTAAAATATTATCTTAAATATCATAAAGAGAATATCAAAATAACAGCCCCCCATTCGCAATTTTCTAAGTGCCCGGGGCAGTTAATAGGGATGATATAGTATGTCAGTCAAAATGCGGGCTCAATTTTAGATACATTGTGAAATTGTGATATTCAAGTGATTATAAAATCTATGGCTATAAACTCCATATGGAATAAATTTGGGCATTGTAGTTTCCTGGTCTGATTGAGTTTATATACAAAACTTTTTTGTAGATTTCTTGGAATTGCTAGGCCAAATAGAAGAAGAGGATGGAAAAGGATACAATTATAGCAAGCAATTCCGAGATGAAGGATGAGATGAAGTCGGTCCAGAATGGGGAGTCTCGGGAGGAAGACACAGAGCACGGTGGCCACGTCAACACTGCTCAGCAAGAAATGAACAACAACAAAGTGACAACAAAAGTTAATCCTGATTCTTCAGCCCATTCAGTAGTATTAGATGTGGAAAAAGATTCCAATGACTCAGCTGCACCAGGTGTGACTGAGGTGAAAACTGAGACTGATAAGTCTACGGCGTCTGTTATAGTAAGAAAAACAGGACAACACAAGGATGGGGATGAGGTAGGGAAAGATGACAAGGAACGAACAACCAGTGAAGCTGGAAAAGCAAACAAAAGACAAGCTAAGCCAGAACGAAGAGCAGAGACACCTTTAACAGAAGAACAAAATACTAATGCTAATGCTACATTGACAGCTGGAAAAAAGAGAAGGCAGACGGAGGTAAAAATGGATGCTAATCTAGAAAGCCCTGATGAAGGTGTGACCAGTTCAGAAGCTCCAGCCACAAAGAAAAGAGTGGGAAGGCCGAAAAAAGAACTGTCAGAACCCAGTGGTAGCAAGACCCAACACAACAATAGTGATAAAATTACAGATAATACTGAAGTAGAGACAAAGAAAAAAGGACCTGGGAAGAAAGTTGTTAAAGAGGAATCTAGCTCACAAAGTAATGAAGCCAATTCTGAGTCAGCTGTTCTGAATAACAAGAGACAGAGGTCTAGACAAAAGATGGAAGATGGATTAAGTTCCAAGAAGCCTGAAGAGGGAAGCAAAGACAATAAGATTACAGCATGTAGTCCCAAGAAGGCTAAGAAAGAAAACCAAGATACCCAGATTAAAGCTGAACCTGACAAAAAGCGGGGGAGGGGTAATAAGACCGAGACACACAAAGACACAGTGGTGCAAGATCCAGCTGAACCAGAGAAAAAGAGAGGAAGGGGTAATAAAGTAGAGACTCATAAAGACACTAAGATGGAAAATCCAGTTGAATCAGAGAAGAAAAAGGGGAGGGGAAATAAATCAGAGACACACAAAGCCACAGGGATGGAAGATCAAATTGAACCAGACAAGAAAAGGGGAAGGGGTTATAAAACAGAGACTCATAAAGACACAGAGATGGATGATCATTCTGAACCAGAGAAGAAAAAGGGGAGGGGTAATAAAACAGAGACACACAAAGATACAATGGTGCAAGATCCAGCTGAACCAGAGAAGAAAACGGGGAGGCCAAGTAAAACTGACACTCACAAAGACACCGGGATGGAAGATCCAGCTGAACCAGAGAGGAGAAAAGGAAAGGGTAATAAAAATGAAAATTACAAAGACTCAGGGGTGGAAGATCAAGCTGAACCAGAGAAGAGGAGGGGAAGGGGTAATAAAACTGAGACTCACAAAGACACAGTGCTGCAAGATTCAGTTGAACCAGAAAAGAAAAAAGGAATAGGTAATAAAAATGAGAATCACAAAGACGCTGGGGTGGAAGATCAAGCTGAACCAGGCAAGAAGAGGGGAAGGGGTAATAAAAGAGAGACTCACAAAGAAACTGGAATGGATGATGCCGCTGAACCAGAGAAGAAAAAGGGGAGGGGTAATAAAACAGAGACACACAAAGATAAAATGATACAAGATCCAGCTGAACCAGAGAAGAAAAGGGGAAGGGGTAATAAAGCAGAGACTCATAAAGACAATAAGGTGGAAAATCCAGTTGAACCAGAGAAGAAGAGAGGAAGGGGTAATAAAACAGAGACTCTCAAAGACAAAGGGGTGGAAGATCAAGCTGAACCAGAGATGAAAAAGGGAAGGGGAAAGAAAAGCGAGACTCACAAAGGCACTGGGTTGGAAGATCAAGCTGAACTAGAAAAGAAAAAGGGGAGGGGGAATAAAACTGACATTCACAAAGACACTGGGACGGATGATCCAGGTTCTAAAGTTAAAATGGGTAAAAATCAAAAACAAGCTGCAAAGGCAAATAGAACTTCAAAATGGGAAAAGAATGTAGCAAAGTACAAATGGGCAAATAGTGCTAAGGACAAATATGTAGGAGCCCATGTATCCATTACAGGTAGGTGTAAAACATTCATAATGAAGTCTGCTTGAAATGTATTGCTAGACTGAAGTTTTCTGAACTTGTTGATATACTTGGCTTTGTTGTAGGAGGGCTATATAAAGCTGTTCTGGAAGCAGAAGAGTTAGGGGCTAGAGCATTTGGGTTGTTTTTGAGGTCTCAGAGACAGTGGGCCAGCAAACCCCTCGAAGACGCAGTGGCTCAGAGGTTCAAAGATATCTGTAAAGTAGGTAGATAAGTGGGTTAATTAAGGAGTTACTGATCTGTGTGATGTACTAGATCTCTGATACTCGGCAAACATAAGGTAGTGATGAACTTAGACCTGCCTTGTTTTAATTTAATATTTTTTTGTGTGAAGGTTCTTTACCAACAAATTTTAAGCTTAACCTACTGTCATTTCCAGCTTGTCATAAAAAAAAGAAAAAAAATTCAAAACATGTTTTTGGTGTTGTAGTGTGGATATATATATTAAGTCAGACTTAAAATAACTCTTAGACATTAAATATATCAATTTACTTTGTTCTTTTGTATTGATGACTAGGAATATGGCTACCCCCTTGTGTTTTTTTAGCTCACCTGAGCCGAAGGCTCAAGTGAGCTTTTCTGATCACATTTTGTCCATCGTCCGTCCGTCTGTCCGTCCGTCCGTCCGTCCGTCTGTCTATCCGTCTGTAAACTTTTCACATTTTCGACTTCTTCTCAAGAACCACTGGGCCAATTTTGACCAAACTTGGTACAAAGCATCCTTGGGTAAAGGGGAATTTAAATTGTTAAAATAAAGGGCCAAGTCCCTCACAAGGGGAGATAATCAAGAAAAGACAAAAATAGGGTGGGGTCATTAAAAAATCTTCTTCTCAAGAACCACTGGGCCAGAAAAGCTGAAACTTATATGGAAGCATCCTGGTATAGTGTAGATTCTAAATTGTTCAAATCATGACCCCCAGGGGAAGGACGGGGCCACAATGGGGAATCGAAGTTTTACATAGAAATATATAGGAAAAATCTTTTGAAAATCTTCTTCTCAAGAACCACTGGGCCAGAAAAGCTGAAACTTATGTGGAAGCATTCTGGGTTAGTGTAGATTCTAAATTATTCAAATCATGACCCCCGGGGGAAGGAAGGGGCCACAATGGGGAATCAAAGTTTTACATAGAAATATATAGGAAAAATCTTTGAAAATCTTCTTCTCAAGAACCACTGGGCCAGAAAAGCTGAAACTTATGTGGAAGCATCCTGGGGTAGTGTAGATTCTAAATTGTTCAAATCATGACCCCCGGGGGAAGGGCGGGGCCACAATGGGGAATCAAAGTTTTACATAGAAATATATAGGAAAAATCTTTGAAAATCTTCTTCTCAAGAACCACTGGGCCAGAAAAGCTGAAACTTATGTGGAAGCATTCTGGGGTAGTGTAGATTCTAAATAGTTCAAATCATGACCCCCGGGGGAAGGGCGGGCCCACAATGGGGAATCAAAGTTTTACATAGAAATATATAGGAAAAATCTTTGAAAATCTTCTTCTCAAGAACCACTGGGCCAGAAAAGCTGAAACTTATGTGGAGGCATCCTTGGGTAGTGTAGATTCTAAATTGTTCAAATCATGACCCTTGGGGGAAGGGCGGGGCCACAATGGGGAATCAAAGTTTTACATAGAAATATATAGGAAAAATCTTTGAAAATCTTCTTCTCAAGAACCACTGGGCCAGAAAAGCTGAAACTTATGTGGAAGCATCCTTGGGTAGTGTAGATTCTAAATTGTTCAAATCATAACCCCCCGGGGAAGGGCGGGGCCACAATGGGGAATCAAAGTTTTACATAGAAATATATAGGAAAAATCTTTGAAAATCTTCTTCTCAAGAACCACTGGGCCAGAAAAGCTGAAACTTATGTGAAAGCATTCTGGGGTAATGTAGATTCTAAATTGTTCAAATCATGACCCCCGGGGGAAGGGTGGGGCTACAATGGGGAATCAAAGTTTTTCATAGAAATATATAGGAAAAATCTTTGAAAATCTTCTTCTCAAGTACCACTGGGCCAGAAAAGCTGAAACTTATGTGGAAGGATCCTGGGTAGTGTAGATTTCAAAATGTTTAAATTATGATCAGTGGGGTAGGGTGGGGATGCATTATGTATTACAAGGAGGAAATCTGGTAAAGAATAGAATGGTCAAAGCTTCTCAGGTGAGCGATGTGGCCCATGGGCCTCTTGTTTTTGTATTGATGACTAGGAGTATGGCTACCCCCCTCATGTGTTTTTTTAATTGATGACTAGGAGTATGGCTATCCCCCTCATGTGATTGTCCCCCATGGTTCGTACCTGATGAACTGTGGCTCACCTGATGACATCAGTCTACAGAAGAGTCGAGATCTACTCCTGGAGGAACTCCAGCGATGTGAGAAGTTAGGCCTCAACAGGTTCAATTTTCACCCAGGTAAGGATTCACTCACACAAAAAAGATTCTGGAAAGTTTGAACTCTTGAAATTTTACAATGGTTCATCAAATGATCAAGAGTTACCGGTATTTATAAAACATGCACTCAGATTTTCTTGTAACTTGTTGCAGGAAGCACTCATTCTCAAAATTGAGGGAAATTTGAATGATAATTATGTAGCTTGATTATTTTTCTTTGTAAATCTACAGGTTCTACATGTGGAAAAATTTCTGTAGAGGAATGTTTGGACAGGATTGGAGAGAGTATCAACCAGGCACTGGCAAAAACAAAAGGTGTCGCTGCAGGTAAATAAAAACAGCTATAATAGGTCACAGCAGGACAAGAACAACTGTAAAATAGGTCACAATAGGTAAAGTAGGTCACAGCAGGTTATGAAGGACAGGTAAAATAGGTCATGGCATGTAAATGACAACAGGTAAAATAGGTCACTGCAGGTAAATAAGAGGTAAAATAGGTCACAGCAGGTAAATAAGAACAGGTAAACTAGGTCATGGCAGGTAATAACACTAGGCAAAATAGGTCATGGCAGGTGTATTAACACTAGGTAAAATAGGACACTGCATGTTGATATATGTCCAATTAATGACCAATGTACTGACCTGTAATGCTGCAGTGATTGAGATTATAGATTACATAATGACTTGTTATGCTGCAGTGATTGAGATTATAGATTGACATAATGATGCGTTATGCTGCAGTGATTGAGATTATAGATGGACATAATGACTTGTTATGCTGCAGTGATTGAGATTATAGATTTAAATAATGACTTGTTATGCTGCAGTAATTGAGATTATAGATTTATTAATGACTTGTTATGCTGCAGTGATTGACATTATAGATTGACATAATGACTTGTTATGCTGGAGTGGTTGAGATTGTAGAATGACATAATGACTTGTTATGCTGGAGTGGTTGAGATTGTAGAATGACATAATGACTTGTTATGCTGCAGTGATTGAGATTATAGATTGACATAATGACTTGTTATGCTGCAGTGATTGAGATTATAGATGGACATAATGACTTGTTATGCTGCAGTGTTTGATGTTATAGATTGACATGACTTGTTATACTGCAGTGATTGAGATTATAGATGGACATAATGACTCGTTATGCTGCAGTGATTGAGATTATAGATGGACATAATGACTTGTTGTGCTGCATTGATTGAAATTATAGATTTATATAATGACTTGTTATGCTGCAGTGATTGAGATTATAGATTGACATAATGTCTTGTTATGCTGCAGTGGTTGAGATTATAGATTTACATAATGACTGTTTATGCTGCAATGATTGACATTATAGATTGACATAATGACTTGTTATGGTGCAGTGATTGAGATTATAGATTTAAATAATGACTTGTTATGCTGCAGTAATTGAGATTATAGATTTATTAATGACTTGTTATGCTGCAGTGATTGACATTATAGATTGACATAATGACTTGTTATGCTGGAGTGGTTGAGATTGTAGAATGACATAATGACTTGTTATGCTGGAGTGGTTGAGATTGTAGAATGACATAATGACTTGTTATGCTGCAGTGATTGAGATTATAGATTGACATAATGACTTGTTATGCTACAGTGATTGAGATTATAGATTGACATAATGACTTGTTATGCTGCAGTGATTGAGATTATAGATTGACATAATGACTTGTTATGCTGCAGTGTTTGATATTATAGATTGACATGACTTGTTATGCTGCAGTGATTGAGATTATAGATTGACATAATGTCTTGTTATGCTGCAGTGATTGAGATTGTAGAATGACATAATGACTTGTTATGCTGCAGTGATTGAGATTATAGATTGACATAATGTCTTGTTATGCTGCAGTGATTGAGATTGTAGAATGACAAAATGACTTTGTTATGCTGCAGTGATTGAGATTACAGATTGACATAATGTCTTGTTATGCTGCAGTGATTGAGATTACAGATTGACATAATGACTTTGTTATGCTGCAGTGATTGAGATTACAGATTGACATAATGACTTGTTATGCTGCAGTGATTGAGATTATAAATTGACATAATGACTTGTTATGCTGCAGTGATTGAGATTATAGATTTAAAGACCCAATTTTTTTACCGTACGGTTACCTGAAGAGGGGGAGTGGTCTAGGTAACAGTGGTGTTATTTACCTGGAGACCCCCAATACCCAAAATGTCAAAAATCTATATACACGTAGCATTACACAGGAAGTCTGTGTCTGGTGATCAGGGTCAATATTCCGTGTTTCGTGTCTAAATTTGAGTGAAACTACTTGAAATAATTGAAATATTTCAATAAAAAAAATTTTTTATAAATACTTTCAGTGATATATAATGAAGAAAAAAATTATATACAGAAATATCGTTTTTATATTTAAAAAAAAAAAGACAAATTAAAGAAAAGAACACAGTGTAAAACTACAAAGTAAACATATCTTTTTAAATTAAACTTGTGTAAATATCAAATTTTAATAAAAATAATATAATAAAATATTCCATTCATAGGTAGGCCTATCCGTCGTGTGAACATATACAATGTACCGTACTACGATAGAAATATTGCCTTCGTTCTGATCAACAATAGTGTCGAAAATATTCCCCATTTCCGGGTGTTCGTGTGTTTAATTTTTTTATTGTTTGCAAGATTTCTTTTATACTTTTAAGAATTGATATTTGGCTGTATATATACACTTTTTAATTTCGAATATTGGATATTGACAGATGTAAGGAAATTCGAACTAAAAGTTACAATCTCGAAACTCCTAGCTATTTTCATTTCAGAACTTTACAACGGAACATGGTATAGATTGTATTCATATATACGTAGATAAAACATGGGATAAATGCTTTTTTTTTTATCCGTGCCGTTTGTGCTAAATATCTTTTCTTATTTATCATATTTCAATTTTAATCGGCAATTAGCGTTTCTGTGCACGGACTGGTCTAAATTCTACAGAGCAGATATCTTGGACGACATATCGCCTAAAATACAATATAGCCATTGAGATTAAAAGCAAATATTTTATGAAGTCATGTTTTAATTATCTACTCTCAATTGTTTTTAAAATAAAATTTTACCAAGATTCTTTTTTTAACCCCCGTGTATACATGCGGCTACATAAAAGTGTTTGACGTGTGACCAGGCAATCGTTTTCAAAGGACATAAACTCAGACTATCGGTAGCTGACCTGTCAATCAAATCAGAAGCTATTGTTTTTTTAATGATTGACAGGCGGTAAATTATTGATCTTGAATCAGGTAGATTTTGGGGGCGTTAACATAAAATTGGGTGTTTAAATAATGACTTGAAATGCTGCAGTGATTGAGATTATAGATTGACATAATGATGCGTTATGCTGCAGTAATTGAGATTATAGATTGACATAATGACTTGTTATGCTGCAGTGATTGAGATTATAGATTGACATAATGACTTGATATACTGCAGTGATTGAGATTATAGATTTAAATGATGACTTGATATGCTGCAGTGATTGACATTATGAAGGGTGTTAAGAAAGTTTGTTCCACATTTTTCTTTTATTTTCGAAAAGAAATGCGATGAGAAGATATTTACAATTTGTGATATTTCATGTTACAGAGTCCATTCTTGCTACTGATAAGGTTGTAAGTGTCTTTTGTTGAATCAATAAGGGGAGGGCAGGTATTTAAAGATGATGTCTTTTCAGAAAAATTAGAGATGACGCATATTTGTGACATATAATAAGCAGAGGTCAAAACATCCTTTCAAATATTATGCAAAAACTATTAAATCTGTGAAAAACTTCAAAATGAAAAACCTATTCTTTTGAAAAATGATCTATCGTTCCTCTACCTATGCTCATCAGCTTGTCTGATGCAAATTAAGCTATGAAGAAACAAAAGTAAATTATCCTTTATTTTCACTCAAAATGACCAGCATTTCTATTATTTGGGTGCTTTATTGATATTATATATATTTCCATTTGGAAGAAAAATCATATAATTCCCTGCTAGAAATGAATTGCTATAAATCTAAAGCACACTCTTGTGATTTTGTCGGACTTGAAAATTAATCTCTTTAATTAAGCACTACTTTGAAATTTTTGAAAATATTTTATCCCAGAACGAACTTTCTTAACACCCCTTAGATTGACATAATGACTTGTTATGCTGCAGTGATTGAGATTATAGATTGACATAATGACTTGTTATGCTGCAGTGATTGAGATTATAGATTGACATAATGACTTGATATACTGCAGTGATTGAGATTATAGATTGATATAATGACTTGTTATGTTGCAGTGATTGAGATTATAGATGGACATAATGACTTGTTATGCTGCAGTGTTTGATATTATAGATTGATATAATGACATGTTATGTTGCAGTGATTGAGATTATAGATTGACATAATGACTTGTTATGCTGCAGTGTTTGATATTATAGATTGACATGACTTGTTATGCTGCAGTGATTGAGATTACAGATTGACATAATGACTTGTTATGCTGCAGTGATTGAGATTATAGATTGACATAATGACTTGTTATACTGCAGTGATTGAGATTATAGATTGACATAATGACTTGTTATACCGCAGTGATTGAGATTATAGATTGATATAATGACTTGTTATGCTGCAGTGATTGAGATTATAGATTGATATAATGACTTGTTATACTGCAGTGATTGAGATTGTAGAATGACATAATGACTTGTTATGCTGCAGTGATTGAGATTATAGATTGACATAATGACTTGATATGCTGCAGTGATTGAGATTATAGATTGATATAATGACTTGTTATGCTGCAGTGGTTGAGATTATAGATTTACATAATGACTGTTTATGCTGCAATGATTGACATTATAGATTGACATAATGACTTGTTATGCTGCAGTGATTTAGATTATAGATTGATATAATGACATGTTATGTTGCAGTGATTGAGATTATAGATTGACATAATGACTTGTTATGCTGCAGTGATTGAGATTATAGATTTATATAATGACTTGTTATGCTACAGTGATTGACATTATAGATTGACATAATGACTTGTTATGCTAGAGTGGTTGAGATTGTAGAATGACATAATGACTTTATGCTGCAGTGATTGAGATTATAGATTTAAATAATGACTTGTTATGCTGCAGTGATTGAGATTATAGATTGACATAATGACTTGTTATGCTGCAGTGATTGAGATTATAGATTGACATAATGACTTGTTATGCTGCAGTGATTGAGATTATAGATTGACATAATGACTTGTTATGCTGCAGTGATTGAGATTATAGATTTAAATAATGACTTGTTATGCTGCAGTGATTGAGATTATAGATTGACATAATGTCTTGTTATGCTGCAGTGATTGAGATTATAGATTGACATAATGACTTCTTATGCTGCAGTGATTGAGATTGTAGAATGACATAATGACTTGTTATGTTGCAGTGATTGAGATTATAGATTGACATAATGACTTGTTATGCTGCAGTGATTGAGATTATAGATTTATATAATGACTTGTTATGCTACAGTGATTGACATTATAGATTGACATAATGACTTGTTATGCTAGAGTGGTTGAGATTGTAGAATGACATAATGACTTTATGCTGCAGTGATTGAGATTATAGATTTAAATAATGACTTGTTATGCTGCAGTGATTGAGATTATAGATTGACATAATGACTTGTTATGCTGCAGTGATTGAGATTATAGATTGACATAATGACTTGTTATGCTGCAGTGATTGAGATTATAGATTGACATAATGACTTGTTATGCTGCAGTGATTGAGATTATAGATTGACATAATGACATGTTATGCTGCAGTGATTGAGATTATCGATTTAAATAATGACTTGTTATGCTGCAGTGATTGAGATTATAGATTGACATAATGTCTTGTTATGCTGCAGTGATTGAGATTATAGATTGACATAATGACTTCTTATGCTGCAGTGATTGAGATTGTAGAATGACATAATGACTTGTTATGCTGCAGTGATTGAGATTATAGATTGACATAATGACATGCTATGTTGCAGCGATTGAGATTATAGATGGACATAATGACTTGTTATGCTGCAGTGATTGAGATTATAGATTTAAATGATGACTTGATATGCTGCAGTGATTGACATTATGAAGGTAGTTAAGAAAGTTTGTTCCACATTTTTCTTTTATTTTCGAAAAGAAATTCGATGAGAAGATATTTACAATTTGTGATATTTCATGTTACAGAGTCCATTCTTGCTACTGATAAGGTTGTAAGTGTCTTTTGTTGAATCAATAAGGGGAGGGCAGGTATTTAAAAAAGATGATGTCTTTTCAGAAAAATTAGAGATGACGCATATTTGTGACATATAATAAGCAGAGGTCAAAACATCCTTTCAAATATTATGCAAAAACTATTAAATCTGTGAAAAACTTCAAAATGAAAAACCTATTCTTTTGAAAAATGATCTATCGTTCCTCTACCTATGCTCATCAGCTTGTCTGATGCAAATTAAGCTATGAAGAAACAAAAGTAAATTATCCTTTATTTTCACTCAAAATGACCAGCATTTCTATTATTTGGGTGCTTTATTGATATTATATATATTTCCATTTGGAAGAAAAATCATATAATTCCCTGCTAGAAATGAATTGCTATAAATTTAAAGCACACTCTTGTGATTTTGTCGGACTTGAGAATTAATCTCTTTAATTAAGCACTACTTTGAAATTTTTGAAAATATTTTATCCCAGAACGAACTTTCTTAACACCCCTTAGATTGACATAATGACTTGTTATGCTGCAGTGATTGAGATTATAGATTGACATAATGACTTGTTATGCTGCAGTGATTGAGATTATAGATTGACATAATGACTTGTTATGCTGCAGTGATTGAGATTATAGATTGACATAATGACATGCTATGTTGCAGCGATTGAGATTATAGATGGACATAATGACTTGTTATGCTGCAGTGATTGAGATTATAGATGGACATAATGACTTGTTATGCTGCAGTGATTGAGATTATAGATTGATATAATGACTTGTTATGCTGCAGTGATTGAGATTATAGATTGACATAATGACTTGTTATGCTGCAGTGATTGAGATTATAGATTTATTAATGACTTGTTATGCTGCAGTGATTGACATTATAGATTGACATAATGACTTGTTATGCTGGAGTGGTTGAGATTGTAGAATGACATAATGACTTGTTATGCTGGAGTGATTGAGATTGTAGAATGACATAATGACTTGTTATGCTGCAGTGATTGAGATTATAGATTGACATAATGACTTGTTATGCTGCAGTGATTGAGATTATAGATGGACATAATGACTTGTTATGCTGCAGTGATTGAGATTATAGATTTATTAATGACTTGTTATGCTGCAGTGATTGAGATTATAGATTGACATAATGACTTGTTATGCTGCAGTAATTGATATTATAGATTGACATAATGACTTGTTATGCTGGAGTGGTTGAGATTGTAGAATGACATAATGACTTATGCACTGATTGAGATTTTTCCTTGATGTAATGACTTGTTACAGTTATTGAGATTTTTAACTGATGTAATGACTTGTTATGCTGTGATTGAGATTTTGACTGATGTTACATATTTCAGTGATTGAGAACATGTGTTGCCAGGGAAGCACTGTGGGAGGGAAGTTTGAGGAACTGAAGGGAATTATCAGCCGAGTCCATGACAAAAGCAGGATCGGCGTTTGTCTGGATACCTGTCATATGTTTGCTGCAGGTAATAGTTTTAAACACTTTGAAACAATTATACTTTATGTATGCAGTCATTGTGGAAGGTTGACTGAAATATTTTTATACCCCCGCAAACGAAGTTTTGGGGGGGGGTATATAGGAATCACCTTGTCCGTCTGTCTGTCTGTCCGTACGTACGTCTGTCTGTCCGTCTGTCTGTGCAAACGTGTCCGGTCCATATCTTTCTTACGGAGGGACATTAGAATCTACTACTCCACACAAAGATTGCCCATGACCTAAGGGTGTGTCATGACCTTGACCCAAGGTCATTCGGGGAAGTTCAAGGTCACTGGAATAAAAATTTCATAATTCGTGTCCGGTTTACATCTTTTTATGGATAAACTTGGTAGGTTCTCATTTCATGCACAGATTGCCCATGACCTAAGGGTGTGTCTTGTCCATGACCCAAGGTCATTTGGGGAAGTTCAAGGTCACTGGAAGAAAATTTTCATATTTTGTGTCCGGTCCATATCTTTCTTATGGATAAATTTGGTAGGTTCTCAATTCACACAAAGATTGCCCTTGACCCAAGGGTGTGTCATGACCTTGACCCAAGTTCATTTGGGGAAGTTCAAGGTCACTGGAAGAAAAAGTTCATAATTCTTGTCAGGTCTACATCTTTTTTATGGATAAACTTGGTTGGTTCTCAATTTACACAAGGATTGCCCATGACCCAAGGGTTTTTCATGACCTTGACCCAAGGTCATTTGGGGAAGTTCAAGGTCACTGGAAGAAAAATTTCATAATTCATGTGTGATGCATATCTTTATTATGAAAAAACTTAGTTCTGGAAAAACCCAGCGGGGGGTATTTTGTCCCGTTTGGACAGTTCTAGTTTTGTCGTGTATATCATTCTGTTTGAGACTATTTCAACCTGGAACCAATATAAATATAAGCACACTCAATTTGATGTGTTTCATGATTTGTGCTCCCATCAAACTAAACATGATAATATATTTGTAAATGTACATATTTTATGAAAGATGGCTAACAATAGCAGTCAATTCTTTTAATTTTCAAAAATTTGTTTCTTCAACAGGTTATGATATTTCAACAGAAAAGGGATACCAGAACATGATGGAAGAATTTAATCGTGTTGTTGGTCAGAAGTATCTGAAAGCCATACACCTGAATGACAGTAAAGGTAAAAGATTCTGACATTTTTTATACAAGACTTGATGCTATTATATGACATTTTGTGTGTAAATTTTAAAATTGATTACAGGTGAAGTTGGCAGTCACCTGGATCGGCACGAGAACATTGGAAAAGGTATGATTGGTAAAGCTGCCTTCCAGCGAATAATGAACGACGCTCGCCTGAACAACATTCCCATGATTCTAGAGACGCCATGTGCTGAGGATGAAACGTACGAGAAAGAAGTTCGTATTCTCTACTCCATGTGTAAGTGAGGAATGTACAATGATCCAAGTCTGCAGCAGTGTTGGTATAGATGCATGTAGATGTGTATGTACTTGGATGTGAACCTGGATTTTCTATTCATTTGTGATGATGATGTACAAAATAAAAAATACAGCATTATTATTGAGTATTTGTTACACCCCCCGCTTGAAAAGTGGAAGGGTATATAGTGATCGCTATGTCCGTCCGTCCGTCAGTACGTCCGTCTGTTACGCTTTGGGGTACCTCTTATCTCTTATCCGCAACTCCTCTCATACCACTGAAGGAAATTTAATGAAACTTCCACTGAATCTTTATTACGTATTGCCATTGTGCACCTCCTATTTTACTTTTTGATCTGACATATATTTTGGATTTTCCAGAGCAAAACATGGATACTGCCATTATATTCATATGGCAGGCAGGGGGTATTATTTAGTGAGCTCATTGCTCACAGTACCTCTAGTTGTGTCAAAGATGATGAAAAGAAGACATCAGGGGAGTGGTTAATATTGTGATACACTTGCCTCAACTCTCTGGTTGAGAAATGAGGGGTGAATATCTGTAGCTCCCTGGTCGAGAAAATTGTGCAGAAAAACCAGAGTTACAGATCCCAGAAGTGTGAAAACCAGAGATTTTGTTGGAATGCTAGATCTGGATATTATCTCTGTTAAAGCCATTTCCTTGCTTAAAGCATGATATCAGTTAAGTATATATTTTTCTTCTTTTTTCAGTACTTTATTTCCATTTCAGAGTGTTATTCTAGCAAGACCATAACATGAACATCAGAATTTGAAGCTGACAATTTCCAAGGCCATTGGCATATAAGGCAGGTAGTGACCGTTGAAATGTAGATAAATACCAGGAATAGAAAGGTAAGTAAAATATCAGGAATATTTTAGGTAAATAAGATGGACAAATAATTCCTGAATAATACCAGTATGCTTTAAGCAGGGGAACACACTATACCAGAAATAATACCCACGGCTAGCAACAAGTGTCAAAAGTTTTCCAATGCTTGGAGTTGCCCAGGTTAGTCTGCTTATAAAATACATGTATTAACTTCTATATTGAGAAATGCAAAAGGTGGATTTGCACATCATCATCAATTATAAGTGTCTTTGATGTCACAATTGAATGTTATCCTCATTCAATTGTATTTCAAGCATCTGAAGCCAAAGTGCTTTTTTGCAACAGATTGGATCATGATCAAAGATCTATATTTTTTTTTTTAGAGGATATTGATTTAAATTGATGTTTATAATTTATTGGAGAAAAATAGCTGCAGCAACTCTGAGACCACACTAGAATTATATACTTTATTAATTATCCAAAGCAGCTGTCCTTTCCACAATTTGTGATATACTTGATCTGTCATGCATACATTTGTAACAGAGGGAAGACAAAATCAATAAAAAGAACCCAATAATACGTACTTTATTTAGTTGGAATGTTTTTGAAGTACATTGTATAATTATTTGTATGTTTATTTGATGTGTCATATAAAACGGAAACTAAAAAAATTGTGGTTCAAGTTAAACAGAAGTTTTGGTGTGTTACATATCAAATGTAAATAAAAAATAGCAGCTAAAGTTTGGTGTGTTTCATATCAAATGTAAATAAAAAAAAATAGCAGCTAAAGTTCAGTTAAACAGAAGTCTCAAAATTAATAGAAGGGAAACAATAATGGAGTACACAGATAACTAGAGTTGATTTTGTCTATCAATATGAAGAGCATTGTAAATACATGTACTTTTGATTAAGGCAGTTATAAAATTAATACATTTGGCAGTGTATACAATGAATATTCGAATGTGAATCCTAAACCTCTATCTTCCTCAATACATAAGATTTTTTAAAAAGAATTCAGTATGTAAAGCATGGAGCGATTGAGTGTAATATAATAAAACTAAAGTAATATTGCTCATTTATCAGGCATACAATTTGATCATTATATTGAAATTAGAATTTATAAACATAAGCAGTGTTGCCTCGATCATTGAACATTTGATGTTTCTCAGTGACAATAAGAACTTGAGACCTCATGTTGAAGTGCATGGGTCCTGGGTCGTCTACGGGTGTGTCTGTGCTGCTAGCCGCCGAGTGTAAGGTGCTGTGCAGGAGGAGGGCACACCTGGAGGACAGGAACTCGGATTTCTTCTGACATAGGATGAAGGTGCTCCCCCGTGATCTCAGTGACAGTATTTTCTCACCCTTCTTGGATCCTACTTCTGGAGTCTCTAAATGTGATGGCCCAGTAATGTGGAATTTTTTGGCTATCCCATCATTCCCCAGAAATAAGATTTGATCTCTGATAGGGCAGTAGTCAAAGTACCCATTAGCCATGGAGAAAGAGTTGCCGAATCTGTCGTTCTCGACTACTCGGAGAAGCTGGTTGTCACTCCTGTACACACATAACTGCCAACACAGAGACCCAATCAACTTATACCCAGACAAATGACAGGATACAACCAATTTCTGTCCCTCATACTCCACACCAAAACACTTTCCTCTTGTATCAATGATGTCTCTGGCTTTCACTGTATTGTCAGAAGAGAAAGTAAAATATCGAATCTTGGATAATTTTGGAAAAGTAACACAGAAGCCTTCATCTCTCTCTGTAATGTCAAATGGAGGGCTCTCTAATGGTAGGGGAGTGCCGTTGTAACTCTTTGCATCATACAGTTTAATGGAAGAGCTAGCATTGTCAACTAAAGCAATCATTCCGCTTTTGAGTACAGCACAGCCAGTAATGGAAGCAGATTTCTCTGAGGACAGTTTGGCGTCCAGTTCTCGGACGAGCTGGAGTTTTGGATCCGCCACTGGAGGGTAAATACTGTCTATCAGCTGACTGGTCTGTACTGCCTGATGAAATGGTAGGATTCTCTCCGGGTCGAGTAGACAAGCTAATTTCTTACTAAGCATGTATTCCATGTCACATGTGTCCAGTTCTTTACGTTTACTTTCTATTATATTCTGGTACTGTTGTGTAAGGTGGTAGATATTTGTTACATCTTGGGAGTTGTCGCATAGTGTTTTCATATGATTCCCGATTTCTGTCAATATATTACTGGATGCAGATTGTATCTCTGTGCATTTCCTCACACAGGTTGTTTTAGTTTCATCTATGCACTTTTCCGTTTCTTCCTGTAGAGAATTTACTCTCGATTTAAATTCCTTGAATATTGAGTCCAGGTTGTCTTTTACGCCTGCAGGTGATAACGCTTGCAGATCTGAGCTTTTGGTCTGAAGTTGTAACGCCTCCCTGTAGTTTTCTACGCATTGATCGTAATGGTGTCCTCTCTCGGTTTCAGAAGGCGGGAACTCCTCCTTAATGCCGATGGAGTCCTTTGGACAGAATTTATGCTGTTCTGCAAATTTGCACTCTGCACACATGGGGATTTTGTGGTAAAGACACAGATAATCCGCCTGGGCGGCATGAAGAGAACATAACTGTTCAGTCGACATCTTGATGTTAAGTCACTATGAAACTGCGCACTTTATTTACGTCTGGATCGAAGGTTGAAAATAAACGTTCATAAAACATTCATAAGGGAAATCCTCTCGTCTATTTTTATCTGTCGTCTCTATCTGGGTTATGAAATTTAAAATTATAATTATATACCTATTAGCAGGCAGTCGCTTTTATGTACATAAAAGTTACAAAGCGCATTTACGAGGATTGATCCAAAAGTTCGTGGAATTTCTTTCTAAAATTTTATCATGATTTGATGAAAACAAACAATAGGCATATTTATAATATAGAGTCATACTGCAACAAAATTGGAAAATTTCACCCCGTTCCAATTACCAATAAGGTCACACGAGCTTTCTGAAAATGGATAGTTGTGAAACCCGGGGGAGAGTCATGTTAGGTATGTCACGTCACGTTTTAGAAGCATCTCACCCTACTGTTCAATTTCGAATACGTAATTCTACAATTAAAATACTGCCCTTTTGTCCATTTTTTTTTTCTCAAGAAAAGCCTGGGTATCCTCTCGTACCAACTTATCTTCATTTTTCACTCATATTTCAAAATACTCCCCATCTTTCCATATGATGTTCCAATTTCAGTAGCAATGTCAAGTAAAATACGTAAGCCGACAACGTCCATTAACGCTATTAATTTGTCTAGAGGGGATAAACACTTAAAACAGAGCTTCCAAAAGGCGGCCACACCTTAAATCAACGTCCATGGAAGTTCTATTTTTCTTAAATTTCTTACGACACTGGAACCCAGTAGCTAAATGCACTTTTCCAGATCCTATGTCAATAATATCAGGGACCTATATATAGTATATAGGTCCCTGATAATATACGCGTTTAAGATAGAGTGATCCCGGGATTTTCATAAAACTTATGACTTGACCAAAATTTGACGTTGTCTAACAACCTTAAGATGAACAATAAATCTTCAACTAATGAACTAAATATCCAGTAAAATCAGTAAAAATCTCACACAAAGGTTTATAAAAGATCAAGCAATCGTAATAATGACATAATTTTCGTTTTCTATAACACATAGGGCGATTTTATTCTCATTTCAAGAATAAAGAATTGAATTGATAAGAAACGTGTTGATGTCTCCCCCGCATTTCCAAACATCCGTTTCTATGGCAACTGCCATAGAGTAACTATCACAAATATTTAAAATATTTTTTTAAAATAAAATATTCAACATGTGTCTATATTCTCATTTGTAATTTTCAATCAATTTCAATTATAAATAAATAAAATATGAAGAAATTCCACGAACTTTTGGATCAACCCTCGTATAGGTTATAGTTATAGTTTAATTATCATTATGATGTTGACATTGCATCGAAAATGATATCTTACATTTGAAACGTGACGTCCAAGGACATTTAATAAAAGTTATGGACCAATCCAGGTAACTGATTGTGAATCGCTTGTATTTTACAAAAAAAAAAAAAAACAAAAAAAAAAATTATTATACATAGCAAATTGAATTTCAATTCCATGTGAAAATTATGAGAAAGTTGATAGATATGGAAAGACTAAAGAAAAGACAACACAGCTTGAAATAAAATGTAAATTAATAAATACAATTATGCTTATTTTATGGTATAATTTATAAAGATACAGATACAGATTTCAGATGTTCGAACAACGCAAGACAATTC